AGGACTGCATAAGCATAATGCCTGATGGTAAATTCTAATAACAACATCCATATTTATATTTATACTGACAAAAATACAGCATAACTTAAAAGTCTTTATCAGCAATATACTTAAAATCAAAAGATCATTATGTTACTATATGAAAGTCTCCCTGTTTCTTCTTTCTCTCTTTTTCTTGTGTTTGCTTCTGTGTTTTTATGTGTCACTCACCATATGAATATCTCTCTATGCTACTATATCTGCATGTTATCTTTAATATATGATTATATCATATATAATTTATAAATATAATACATACTATATAAAATAACATATAAATGTAATATTATATATTGAAACATCTTTATTAATCTCTGTGATTATCATTCTCTCTGTGTTGGTGGCTAGGTGGCACAGTGATAGAGTGCCAAATCTGAATCAGAAGATCTGAGTTGAAATTTGGCCTCAGACGCTTACTAGCTATATGAGCCTGGTCAAATCATTTAGCTTCTGTTTGCCTCAGTTTCCTCCTTTGTAAAGTGGGGATAATAATAGCACCTGCCTCCCAGGGTTGTTATAAGGATCAAATGAGATAATTAGGAAGTTCTTAGAACAGTGTTTGGCACATAGTAAATGTTACATGAATGTTAGCACTAATAATAATGATAGTTTATGATGATGATGATGATGTCTTTCTCTTTGTGTCTAATTTTTATCTCTTTCTTATGTCTTTCTCTGTATTCCTAACTCTGTTTATGTCTTTTCCTCAGTCCTTAGAAGTATCTTCCTCATCATCCCTCCCTTTGTGCACCATGTGTACTTCTATCTTATATACAGGCTCTATCTTGCACCTTTTTGTCTTTTTTGAACCCTTTTCATTTACCCCAAACTTTTCTCCTTTCTCCTTCCATCTTGCTTTCTGAACTAGTTATAAATTAGACTGCCTATAACACAGAACTAATGTACATATTCCTAAACTTATTTTATTTGCTAAATAGAGTTTTATGTTCTGCCATCCCAATTTTAAAAGCAGATAAGCGGACTATTATTTGTCTCTCTAAAGCACAAAACAAAATTAAATTCTGTTACTTTTAACATGTAGGATCACTGTTCTCCCTGTTTTCACATACCCCTGCCCTGTGGCTCAATATCCCCATACAGAAAAAATATCTCTGCCTGCTCTGGATAAATGTGTAGATAAAATGTAAGAATTTCTGTGAAATGTAGTTATCTTCTTGATAGGATTTTTTTCTTGTCTAAGTCTTTGAAAAATGATATCAATATACCATATTGCACTACTGTACAGATTGAAAATATTTATCTAGACAATCCTAGTCCTGCAAGACTACACTATGTGTCCTCCAGGACCGGAGAAGAGAAAGTCCTTTTTTTTTTTCTGCTGCTTTTGCAAGATTTGCATTTTTTTTCATCCCCTGCATGAATCCACAGAGGGCTTCCCTTGCAGGTTTTATAACAGCCCAGCCTCTGACCTGAAGCTTAGAGAAATGAGTTAACAATAGAAGGACTAGGCCATTAATTGATATAAAATATTTCTTCTTATTCTTTTTTTTCTTCATTATGGATTTTAAAAATGCAGTGTATCAACTGACACCGCCTTTGAGATATTCTTAAAGTAAGGCCTTTCTAGTTGTTTTTATAATTATATCCAAAGAAGGTTTTGTTTGGGGGGAGTATGTGGGGGTAGGAGTTCTTAATTTTTATTTTATTATAATTTTCCCTTAAGAAAACAATCATTACTTCTATTAAAAATACATTACAAAAGTATCAATCCTAGGGCACAGTATACCTCATTCATTTTTTTTGTGTCGTCTGCATGATTTTCTCCTTTAAACTCTGCAGAATGCAACAGTGGACCCTCAAGAATATTCCCTCCCTTCTATCATTCTCATAGTTAGAGGAATCAAGGATAAGGGGTTCATGGTGATCAAACTCTCACAGATGTTCAGAAAGCTTCCCTAATCAGATTTCTGACAGTTTGAATTCTATTCCTGGAAGCCAGAGGACTGGATTGAATATATTATTGTGAGGAATTAAGTAAGCCCACAGGTTGGGGCAAAAATGACTTTTCAAATTCTTGGTGCATTTATAATAATAATAATAACAACAGCAGCAGCAGCAGCAGCAATGACCATTATATTGAAAGTTATTTGCCAATGTTAAAGTTAAGGTTTGCAAAGGGCTTTACAAATATTATCTCATTTTACCCTGTGAGGAAGGTTCTAGTATGATTCTCATTTTACAGGCCGACAGAAGTTAAATGATTTGCCTAGGGTTATACAGCTAGTAAACATCTGCATTCAGTTTGAACTCAGGTCTTCCTGACCCTAGGCCCAGGGCTCTCTCCTCTGTGCCTCTTAGCTGCCTAGGAGCTTATATTCACTCAAAGCTCCCTGTTATCTTGTCAGCTACTTATGTTTATGGGCCATATATTAGTCCAAAGTCTTTTAAATTACATAGGCTCTCCATAATTATATATGGTAAATACTTTCTCTTAGAAAAGAGAGGAATTGTCATCCAATGGAAAGGGTGCTACTCACTTTGAATTCTGAGACTGCCCACAGGCAAGTTCTTTTATGGAAATCTAATTTTCATCATTTTTTGTATGAGGGTTGGATTAAAACCATCGCAGTTGAGCTCCTAAATAGGTAAGAACCATTTGAATACCTCTGTGAATCAATCAAAACCATTGTATGAGGCACTTGGTCACATCCTAAGCAATTTGTATTTTTTTTTTTAAAGAAGCTATCTTAGAACATGAAGAAGAGATTTGAAGGGTTTTGATTCCAGAGGTTGGAGCAAGCACAGCATTTCTAGTACACCTTTGAGTGGCAAAGGGAGGATTGAGCTATGTTAGAGATGGAAGATATTGAGGAGAATAAGTGGCTCTAGAGATATCTTAGAGCAAAGGACAAAGGCTAAAAGAAGTCTCAAGAAAGTGTTGGCTCTTTCTCCAATTTCCATAGACACCATAATATTATCCTCCATTTTTTGGCCAAATGTTTCCCATGAACTGAGTTTTGCCTCAACCAAAAAGAGATCAGTGAGTAGAAAGAGATATGGATGTGGGACTAGGTAGAGAGTGTTGGGAGTTTTCTTAACAATTGACTCGAAGTGATTGTGACTGAACCCAGAACTTCATATAGAATAAACTTTATAAAACTGAGGAGGAAGGAGCTAAGAGAACCTTAGGGGGCATTATATTGCCACCTATGCTTGAAATGAATTAGGTGTCGTAATATAGTGCCTTTAGGCTTAGCTAAATCATTTCAGCTTAATTAGCATTATTCTCTTTTAGAAAAAGATATTGACATTTATTCTAAGATTGGGACAGAAAAACCTTTCCAACTCTATCCTTTTGGCAGGGCTCTTCTACCTCTCAGCAATAATAGTTAACAATGCAGAGAAGTATATTCTGTCTTCCTTCTCTCATTTTCCAACTCCCCCTTCCCCTCCATTTTCCTTTCTTTCCTTTCTTTTCTTCTTCCTCCTTCTATTTCTTCTCCTCTTTTTCAGCAAAGTATATCTTTTATAGTCCTCAGCAGCAGGAAGTGGTAGAGGGAGATTTTTCAGTCTCGTTTTGGCCTACCAAGTCTTTCTGGCAATAGTTGACAGCACAGAGAGATATAGCCTTGCGTTGACATGGAACTAATGTTCCATTCTTTTATTTCTCCAGATTCTTAGGCTGGGTCATCTGAAAGACATCATCTTATCTTCTTATGGTTAGAAACTGAATTCTCATCTTTTGTCACTAAGACATAATCAAACAGCATGTATTTGTCCCATAATAAGAGATATGGTGTTTATATCTTCCTGTTAGTAACGTCAAAGGTTTCCAATTTTCGTATGTTAATAAACCTTTGAGGTACAAAATATTCAAGCAGATTGAAGAAGTAATTCAAGAGATGGAGGTTTAGGAATTTATCTAGCCCTGAAAATGTGGACAGGAGGAAGCCAATGATCTTAGATGAAGAAAGGACACAATAACGCTAAGTCTGCCCTAAAGCAATAGTTCACCTTTCTTGATTCCCTTAGTTTTTGGTGGTTTCTCCAAACTTTTTATGGATTGTATTCTTCCAGAAGAATGTTAACTCCTTGAAGGCATGTACTGTCTCATGTTTTTCTTTGGATTACCAATATTGAGCACATAGTGTTAACCTAATAAATACTTTTTGAATTGAGTTGGGAGTGCATGGAATGAGCATTATAGGACAGAAGTTGGATCATGAGCAAGGTAGGAGTCATATACATTAGAAAGGAAACAGTTCTTGGGACATCATCATTCATTTCCTCAAAGGTGGAGGAATATGACTAGAATTTTAAATTGGGTTCTGTCAGGGTTGGATGGATACCACAGGTGACTCTTTTCTATGGGCTGAAAAAAAAAAGCTTCTTAGGACCACAGGTGAGGGGTGCTCCCTCATCATTTGGTGCTCTCAATGCAAATAAGCAGGGAGATTTAGGGGATATAAGTCCAGCTAGATGATATATTGACCCAAACATAAGCTGGTGGTAAATGGAAGGGTTGGATTTAGCTCAAGTTTCCAGACATAGGTATACAGTTCTTTTAATCATACTTGAAATGGAAATTGGAAATTCCCCTTTAAATTAATAAGATCACTCAAATAAATAGGTTCAGTTCAAATCTCGGTCATGACCGTTCCATATCTCCTGAGTGTTATTGGCCTAGCATTCCAGGAACTAGCCATTCCTAGGTCACGTTGACATGGAGGGTTGGCTCCTCTCCTTGTGAGACGTGATGTTATTAAAAAACAAAATACCAAGCCTCAGGCGGATGGGAGCGTGGCTAAGGTCAGATGTGTATTGGACAAACCTTGAATAGCGCATGCATCAAAAAGGGCTTCTTGGCCCCAAGCCTTCTTTGTTTAGAACAATATAAAAACACTGCGTCCTGTAAGCCCGCTGAGCCTCACCCGCGGGAAGGACGCTTCGCCCGGGAAAATCTTTACACAATTCAAGTTTGTACAGGCTGCAACGGGGCTCCCAGCCGTTGATTGACTTTGGAGGTTCCCTTGAATTGGTGATGTATTCTCTTCCATTACCGACTCTCTTGATCGGTGCTATATTATTGATTGTTCTTATTATTTATGCTTTCTATGCAAATTCAAACTATCTGTGCTTTGCTTCTTCTAAATAAATTATCTATTTCCTATTATTTTTTGGTGCATTGGAGAGTGTCATTTATAGGAGCGAATCCGAACCTCACTAAATCATACTAATACAATACTTTACTGCCTCTTCCATGAATTAATATTTCTGGGAATAGTATTCTTTAGAGTAAGGTATTTTGAAGAAAAATGTAGAGAAGCAGAAAACACCTTTAACCTCACTCTCAGGTGGACTAGATAGAAAAGGGAGCAAATCTTTGCCTTCCAGATTTCTAACTTGTATAAAGGTCATAGAGAGAATAAAGGAAAAAAAATGTTTAATTATGAAGCCTATGAATAGGAGGATAGATCCTAGACTGAGTATCCTATTAGTGGAAAGGAGCAAGGCAGAGTGTGAATTGAACTTGACATCCCTTGAAAAAGGGTTCCACAAATGAATGCTATTCAAACTAAAGTTTTATGTCTTAGATATGGTACAACTAAAATTTCTTAAATATGTATCTATATATCTATATATAAATTCTGAACTGATAGAGGGTGGCTGACCTAAGACAGAGCAGGGGGTCAAACATAGGGCTGAAGGTTTGATGATATGGAATGGTATTCAAGATAGAGAGTGATTGGAGGACTCAGTTGATTATGGAACTTGGTAGGAAACTCATGTGTTTGGAAAACAGTTGAAAAAAGTTGAGCATTGAAGATGTCTGTCTGGGGCAAAGTGGATTTCATACTTAGCTTTGTTTTGTACGGGAAAGTGAAGAGATGGAGAGAAAGGGGAAAGAGAGAAAGAAGGGAAGTAGTAGAAGAGAAAGGGAATGATAATAAAAGTAGATCTGAAAATCTGAGATTTTGATAGGATAATGGAAGGGCAGGGAGGTTCTTTGGGCAAAATACTGATGTGATCAATGTAAGGAAAACAAAACTAAGGTTAAGTGCAGTCTTAGAAGAGGGAAATCAAAATAACATAACATAATTAAATGAAGTCAAAGACACATAGATACGATCTTGAATATAACTTGATTAAACTCACCAGCAAAAAGAAAGAGAATGACAGAAGACAAACTCCAATAATTTGCCATATACATGAATAACATTTCAAAGTTAAAGACACAAATAAAGTGAAAATAAGTTGATTGTAATAAAATGAGAATTCAGGTGATTAAAAAAAATAAAATTTGCATTCATCAGAGGCAAAATAAATATAGAGGTTTTTTGCTGGTAAAACAAAGTAATTTTGTGTGGAAAGACTAACAGAATCGAGAAGATAGTAACTAATGTGATTTAAAAAAGAAGCAAATACAATTGCCCAAATTAAAAAGAAATGAGACAGATTCACAGAAATAGAAAGGAAATAAAACAGAATTATCAGCTTCTATGAACAGTATGTTTCATAAAAATAGAGAGGTTAAAAGAAATGGATGAATATCTATTAAAACATAAGATAACCAAATTAAGAAAACAGGAAATAGAAATTCTAAGCACAATCTCATAAAAAGAAACCAAACAAGCCATAGGCAAACTCCCAAAGTAAGGAGGGTGGGGAACCCTTAATGGAAAAAGATTTATACATGCATTCTATCAAATATTTAAGGAAAGGGGTCAGGGACTGGACCTGTGATTTTACTGTTATAGACAATTCGTCCATGATGAAACATCTACCAACAAATGCAGTGTGGCAAACATATCATCTCAGAATGCTGCTTAGAACACAGATATTAAATGACCAGCTCAGAGTCATACAGCCAGTGTGTGCCAGAGGTGGCAATCAAACGCAGGCCTTCCTGGCTTCATGGTCATCCTTCCCTCTCTCTGTTATGCTATTCTATTTCTCCTTTCATAAGACAAATATGGGCCTGATACTTATGTTGGGGATATATAAAACAAAAAAGCATAAGCCAATATCACTATCATCACTAATAAATATTTGTGAAAAACTTAAATAAATTTTTGTCAAACATACTACAAATTAACTTACATGAAATTATTCATTATGACAAACTTAAAGTTATACTACATATGGTTCACAATTAGGAAAATAATAGCACAGGTAATCAGGGAAGCAACAAAACACATCCAGTATAAATAGATGCAAAAAAGGCATGCTTTAAAATATAGTTCATATTCATGTTGAAAACCCTTAAAAAAAGACATCAGAGTTTTCTTCTCTTACATCGCTGAAAGCAGACAAAAAGCCTTAAAAAAAAGAAATAGGACTTTCCCAAATAAAATCAAATATAAAGCAAAGATCTCTTCCTTTCTCCCACAGTTGATTGATACAGTGCTAACAATAAAACAATCAAGGCAATATATATTAGTAAATAGGAAGCATAATTAGCTTAATTTACAGATGATATAAAGGCTTGCTTAGCAAACCTTATAGAATTAGTGATGAAGCTAATCAAGATTAGTAATCACAATAGCAAACTTTATTAATCAAACCATATAAACAATTCCTAAGAAGAAACTACCAATCAGGTTCCAATAAGAGGTTTTTTTTTTCATTTTAGATTCAACAATATTACCTCTCTGCCCAGCCAGATGCTATTTGTCTTCCTGCAGTGGTCATCTGGCAAGTCTCCAGAATCTATATCAACCAGTAAGTATCACCCTCAAGCCAACGTAGACTTGCTCAAGTCAAACTCAGGAGGATGGTTGGGATCTCAGAAAGGGTTTTCTTTTATATTTTTACCTATAAGTATTTCTGAAAGGTTTACCACTTAATTTTATTGATAAAATTACTGATAAAGTTGTTTATAATATTTTCTCATTAGTGGTCTGTCTTATTGAATGGTCCACATACATTTGTCAGTTGCTTAAGAGTACATATATGTTTCTTCCTATGTCATGAGTGCTCATGAGCACTAAATACACGAGTGCTTGGCTTGTTATTGGAAAACAACCTGTAGAAAAACAATTTACTCAAAAGAGCTCAGTCACAAAATAGAAGCTTTAAAAATGTAACCTGTTATGCTAAGTTGACAAATTATCTTATTGAGATGGTAGAACTTATTCTCAAAAAGGCACATTCCTTGTTGTTTCTGACTTGTCAAAGATCACTGGAAGTAACTCAGCAATCACATCTTTACAATCCTTGGGGACAGAGTTTGTCTGCATCTGATGATATGAGCTCAACACAGGCAACTTGTCACTCTGTTATTTACTTAATTACCTTGGGTCTCAGGTTCCTATTAGCCATCTCCCCAAATTATTTCTGACCCATAGGTATTTTTCTTGGCAGAGAAAACAAATGCAAAGTAAAAACTGGGTACTTCTACTTTCCCTCCATAGTTTGCTATCACAGTCTCATCTGCCTCCAAGCAGTGGTCATACTGTGCTTTATGCACAATAGAGAAGAGGATAAAAGAAACCAGAATAGCAACCAACCTGATTGCCCTTCCTAGAAGCTCTGTAAGATATCGTGGACATTATTCAAATATGGCTCCCAACTCATATGTACAAACATATTTATAGCAGCTCTTTTTGTGGTGGCAAAGAATTGGAAATTGAGGAGATGCCCATCAGTTGGAGAATGGCTGAACAAGCTGTGGTATATGAATGTAATGGAGTACTATTATGCTATAAGAAATGATGAGCAGGCAGACTTCAAAAAAACCTGGAAAGACTTGAATGAACTGATGCTGAGTGAAGTGAGCAGAACCAGGAGAACATTGTAAACAGTAACAGCCACAAGGTGCAATGACTGACTTTGATAGACTCATCTCTTCATAGCAATGCAAAGATCCAAGACAACTCCAAAGGATTCATGATGAAAAATTCTGTCCACATCCAGAAAAAGAACTATGGAGTCTGAATGCAGATCGAAGCATATTATTTGCTTTCTCTCTTTTTTTTGTTTCTTCTTTCTCATGGTTCTTCCTATTGGTTCTAATTCTTCTTTACATGACTAATGTGAAAATAGGTTCAATATGAATATATATGTAGAGTCTATATCAAATTGCATACCATCTTGGGGAGGGGGAGGGGGAGAAAATTTGGGACTCAAAATCTTATAGAAGTGAATGTTGAAAACCAAAACTAAATAAATAAATAATAAGAAAACTAAAAATATATACATGATTCACAGAACTGAGAATAATATTACAGATGTAATTAGAAGGAACTAGTTTAGTTTTTACTTCACTTCTAAGTGGCTCTTTTAAAAAAAATCATAGGATCATAGACTTAGAACTCGAAAGGGCATTAGAAACCATCTACTTCAATTGCCCCATTTTAAAGATGAGGAAACTGAGGCCCAGGAAGGCTTAGTGACTTGACCAAGGTCACACAGATAGTACGTGTTAGAGATTAGGTTAAACCTGTCATTGCAGGGTCAGCACTTTCTTCTTTGATCCTCTTCTCTTTATCTATAACTAAATTTCTCTTCTCCCCTCTCCATTTATTGTTTGCCTGCCTCATATCTTTCTGGATGTTAGTATACCCATCATCCTCAAGTGCTACAGCATTTGACTATGATGTTGGTCAGCTCTATGAACCTGTGTATTTTCTAGCTGTAACATTCTATTTAACTATTTCATTTCTGCTTCTTCCACTTTGATTCTTCACCTACTTTGCCTTATCTATTTTGCCCATTCCTCTTCCCTTTGCTTCCTTATTACTTTTCCCTTCTAGGGCAAAGGAAGGGTTGGTTGTGTGGAGGTATGGTCTAGATTGGTAGAGAAAACCATTCTAGTTTCCTTCCCTACCCCATACCCTCAAATTTTCCCTTTCCTCATGCTCTACTCAAGGTTATTTGGATAATTGTTTTAATTATTCAGCTTACCCTTCAAGTGAGAACCTAGCTAGCAATTATAATAATAGCTAAAAGTCTTATATCATTTTAAGATTTGCAAAGTGATTTATATACATCATTTCATTTGATTCTCAAAACAAGCCTGTCAACTAAGTGCTATTATTGCCTCTATATTATAGAGGAGATCACTGAGATTGAGAAGTTAAGTATGTCACCTAGAATCACAAAACCAATAAGTGACTAAGATAGGATTCAAATTCGGGTTTTTCTGGCTCCAAGTCTAGCACTCTATCTACTTGCCTTCTAGTGGTCTCATAGAGCTTCGACAACCTCATAGAGTTTCACCTAAAGTACAATGGTTGAGTATGAGTGATAAAAACATTTGTATGCTTAAAAAAATTAGGACTTTCTATTGATTCTCGAAAGTGGTTGAGTTTAAAGACAGTGACATGGATTAGTTTTTCTTTGGGGCAGGCTGATTGCTTGACAATATACAAAAAGGGTTTAGAAGGGATTTCCTCCCTATGAGGAGAAATTGCAAGAGTTGATTTGAGAAAAAGTTATACAACTTCAGTACCCCTACGGGTCAAGGTAAGAATATTTTCAGTTCGTATCGCAGAGATAGTGATAAGAAACACCGGTAACAAGAGAAATGTGAAAATTGTAGGGCATGAATGATGGCAAGATTTTTAGCTTAGGGCCTGTGACTCAGGTTTTTGAAATAAAAAAGGAATTAGGACAGGGTACATGAAATCCAGACTGTTTTTAATGTGCCAGAGGCAGAAGGTCATGGCAAAGTTAGGGAGGTCATCAGATGAGAGAAACAGGGTAAACTTGTCTTAGAATCAGATGCTGTCAAAACCAGAGTGACACACATCCATTGTTGTTTTTAGAATTAAAAAATAAATCCAAGTGTAAGGTGTGCTGAAGGCCAACCTCACAGTGCCACACAAAGGAGAAAAGATTCTTGTAACTCTTTGGAAACATTCTAGAACTCCCCCATTCAGTGAGGACAATCAACCAATAACAAGTATGTATTAAAATGCCTACTGTGTGTAAAATACTGTGCTAAGCACTAAGGGTGCAAAGAAAGAACTAAAACCATCCCTGCCTTCTAGGTGCTTCCATTTAGCTAGGGAGATGACCTGTACGTTTTTATACATGTATGCTTATGCACATATACGTATGTATACATACATATTTACTGTATATAATGTACACACGTATAATTTACACATGTGTACTTATATACAAAATAAATGAAAGGTAATATTTTGAAGTGGAGACCCTAGAGACTGGAGTGTAGGGAGCAGGAAAAGACTTCATGCAGAAGTTTCTATTTAAACTGAGCTATGAAGGAAATTAAGGATTCTAAGAAATAGGAATGTGCAAAATGTGTAAAGTGAAACGGGTGTATGTGAAATGTTATTATAATAGTTATAATAATACTTTGCATTAATGTAGCAATTTGATTATCATCTCTTACAACAATACCCTAGAGATGTATTACGGGATAGCAATGGTCCAAGTTTGAATTAGGCTGCAATAACACAGAAGGGAATATGGTTTAGGACAAGGGAGAAACCAGTAAGCAGAGTTTGCTAGTATTTTGTGGGGATGTGTCTGTACCGACTTGACTATCAGTCACTGCTCATATTTTTTCCATTCTGAATCCCTACCCAAACCCAGCCAGGCTTTATACCACAGCAGTTGACAGATATTAGCCTTCCATCCCTCTGCCTATCTACCCCCACTCTCTTTACCCCCTTTCTTGATTAAGCCCTTGGTAAGCTTCTCATAAACTTTTCATTATATCCTTCTCGCACTTTCTAACCTACACACTTCTCACATCCCTAGGTGGCCCCTGTTTTGCATGCATACAGGGGCCATTTACTCTGGTTGATATGCCTGTATAATATTCTGGACGCAGACTTTTGGATTCTAGAGAATCTAAGATGCGTGTATATGTACGTATGTTTTTATTTACAAATTCCTAGTAACCTTTCTAACGCAAAGACAAGAATCAATAAGCTATATATATATATATATATGGGCATATAAATATAATTATACATATATACATGCATTTTGTTGACCAGTGAAAACCAGTTTGACTAGTAAGGCCCTAGCCCCTCAGAGTGCATATTATCAAGGCTAATAAATTCAGAGAATGGACATTAACCACATCCACCCCTAGCTTCTTGGTGCATTCACAGAATTAAGTTTAGTTTCCCTACATCCCTATCCCTCATTCTTTACACCTTATTATTCAGTCAATCAGGAAAGTCAGTTGACTTAACCAAGTTTACACAGCTAGTAAGTGACAGGAACAGTATTAGAACCAAGATTCTCTGACTCTAGGGACAGTGTTCTTCCCAGTATACCACACTTCTCCCTCTGTTTTCTAGTCTAGGTGTGAAGATGATGTTTTGAACCTAAATGTGAAACTTTACTTTTTTAATATATGCTGTCTTCTTAGATTTAGTCCAACATTCTATTCTGTCAAGATCCTTTGGATCCTAATTTTGTCAAGCAGGGTGGTAGTTATACCTTCTACCTTTGAGTCACCTGCAAGTTCAGTAATAATAATTCATATGCCTTCTATGTCACTGATAAAAATTCTATGCCCAGGGCAGGTCAATACAGTGCCAAGGCCCTTCCTCCATTAGTAACCCCCAATTCAAGTTGATTGAACTCTTAGTGACTGAATACTAGAAATATAATATATATAACATAGAAATATAATACTTTAATACTACACTTTGGGTCTACTCATTCAAACAGTTCAAAAACTACCTGAATGTATTGTTATCAAGAGTTCATTAGTCTGCCTTGTCCTATGCTTCTGAATTATTCATTGTAAGAGTGGAGGGTGGCAAAGTCTAGATCCTTTGCTTCCCTGAGTTACAGGTCCCTTTCAATGTAGTTTTAGGGGCCAACTGGGTAATTCTGAAATACATACTTACATACATACACACATACATACATACATACTGACAGACATACTTCTCTGTCTCTCTCTATCTCTTTTTTTTTTCTCTCTCTCTCTCCTTAGTTAGCTAGATGGCACAATAGATAGAGCTAAATTTGGCCTCAGATACTTAATAGTTGTGTGACCCTGGGCCAGTCACTAAGTCACTCAACCTCTGTTTGCCTCAGTTTCCTCATCTTTCAAATGAGGAAAATAATAGCACCTACCTTTCAGGGCGATCATGAGGATCAAATGAAATAATATTTGTAAAAGTGCCTGGCACATAGTAAGTAGTATACAAGTATATAAATGTTAGCTATTATGTATGTATACATGTACATTATACATGTGCATGCATGTAACTATGTATGTTTACATTCTCTGTGTACATATGTGTGTGTGTATATATATATGTGTGTATGTATATATATATGTATATATATATATATGTGTGTGTGTGTGTGTATGTATGTATATATGTATGTATATGTCACTAGCTTGTATATACCTAAAATTGAAATATGTGAAATTGAAAGTTTAAATCAGGTCCTTTTGTAGACTAGGACATTGGCATCTTGCTTGAATAAATGTAAACTCAATTTTGAAAGGATATACTACAATAATAAAACTGGTAGGAGATCAGGTTTTGATGGTCTAAAACTTCTACAACTGGTGAAATATTTGCAAGAGTATTGGCAAGATATGATGATTCATTTTTTTAAGGAAAGAATTTAAAATACATCATTCCCTGGAGCAGACAAGGATTACTTTCACTGAAAAGGATATGCTTTAT